TTATTTTTATTTTTCATTTATTTAATGTATTTATCTAATATTATCAATATAAAACTTAACATAAGCGACAGAAAAACAACATACTCAATTGAGACTTTTTTATGTTACGTAGTCGAAGTGTTCGACTGTATAATTCTTACTGATTACAACTACACAAACATGATGAATGTTATTTTATATAAGCAACTTACTAACATAAATTCACACAATTTATATTCTATATACAAAATAAAATTTACCATGTGGCCAATAAAACTTTCATTGCACAAATAAAGCTACCATTTAATATTTACTCTATCTTGGCGTTGGCTACTTCTGGTATGAATCACTCGGCTTGTGCATTTGTTATGGTAACTACTCACCATGAAGTGGTAATAGTTTTTGCATAAGTACTTTAGGGCCTTGATTTATATTTGATTTTGGTAGTCGTAAAAATCTTGCACAACATTAATCGTATAATAAAACGTTGATGTATTGAACACTTTTAGCCTGTAGTTCCATACATTTATATCCGTAGCAATGCAGATCTAGTAAGCTGCAAGTTATTAGGTATAATTTATTTAGTTATTAGGTATCATTACTTTTGCATTCGTTTCAGAAGACGCTCACACTAAAATCACTACATTTCTACTGATTTTAGAAATAAATACGATTTCGATTAGCATTTATTGATTTGTGTTAACTGCGAAAACGTCTAAAATATCTAATAAATAATAATTTGTGCAACATAAGTTTAGTTTTTAAGAATTTTTTGAAAGATTTTAGTTAGGTAGTAGTTAACTTTTGTAATTTCCAAACCTACTTATCGCATGTCACTACAGTGCATTTCGTAATGTTATGATTTTGTGTGTGAATTTTCTTTTCACAAGTGAGCGAAGTCAATGGTGACGGCTAGATTTAATATAACTCTTCGTAGAATTTACTTCATTGGAATTGATCAATATTTACGAGATTTTAAATTTGTTATCTCAAGATGGATTAAGCTATTAAATCCTTATTTTTCCCCGAAACCAATTAACGATAATTATAAATCAAACAACTTAAGGGCTTATAAAATGTTACTCGACTCCCCTCCCTATAATATAAAGAAAATGTTTAAAAGAAAAGTTATTAGTTACAACACTTATAGCTAACAGACTGAACAATGTCACTTTTTTAAAATACTTAGAATATTTTCTGTTTACCTTAAATACTTGTACTTAATTCCTTCTATTTCTTTATATCTATTTTCTTCCCCTACTACTGAAATTATTAGTGGTATAATAAACTTAATGAACTAAGTAACTAAACTTTTTGGGTATCTAAGTTAAAAAAGAGGAAAGACCTTAAATTGCGTTCTTTTTTCAAGTTTTAAATTTTTTATTGCCTTATTGTCTACGTATGTAACATAAAATTAAAATTCTGATCCATAACCAGAGAGTTTCCTAATGAACTAAGTAAAGGTCACAAATGAAGTTCCATTCTCTATAAACCATGTTTAACAGGCAGCGCAGTTGCCGGAGAGGCGTACGAGTACCTTTATTAATACAGCAAAGGATAATATGGAACGGACACCGATTATTGGGCGACCTACTGATTAAAAGCATATTTTTATTTCCGCAAATTTTTTAAAGAAATGCACACAATAACAAATTTGCTTATGGCTTTTATAGACTAACATGAATTCCGTATAGCTCTATAGTCACGCTGACTGCAAAAACGTCTGAAAACACGCAACGCGCTGATGACTCACGTGAGATTGTTAAATGGTGAGAAACACAAAAAGCTTATGACCCGTGGTATCAGCATTGTCAGATTAGGGTTGTCTCGCGATTTTTGTGGGAAAATGTAAGTGAGGAAGACTGAAAAACTTTGACAGTGTAGAAGAAATATAAGGGAAACCTCACTGTAATAAAAAAATCGCGCTAAAAATTATAATTTATTAAGATTCGATTAAATATTTTTAGCAACATAACATAATCTAGTTTTCATTTTTGAAAAATGTAACTGATCACCAAAAATTACTTAAAAACGGAACTTATATATTTTTTATAGAGTTTTTGTTTTGTATTTTTATATTACATTATTTGGAAGAGACTATACCTGTATTAGCCGTAGAGTAAGTAACAGATGTGACGAGAAAGAGGAATATATTTGGTGAGACCCTTGGGAAGTCATACTTTTACCGTCAGAAGCCAAAATTTCTCAGAATGCTTTCTATTCAGGAAACAAATGTATATGAGATGGCTACACCCTCTTGTAGATGCCATTATCGAAGGTGCAATTTCGTAGCTAGACGTTTTTTAATATGGGTAAAATAAATTTAAAAAATAAATTAGTTTTTTGTACCTACATAAAACTTATTATCGATATCGACATTATAGATATTTTTACCCATCTCTAAAACATCCAGCTGTACTTCTGATAAGTATTTTGTTACTATCAGACTTTGTATTTTTTGTAGAACAAAAGCAACTGCAATAATTATAATCACGACATACAGAAATGTAAAATATAGATACTTCCTTATTGATTATTTTTGCTTTTTTTTATAAATCGTAATAGTTATTACTTTGGTTTGAATCTATTCCCAGCTAAAGTTCTACAGTGTTTAAGGTATTTAAGGGCTTACCGTGATGTGGGTAGGCGACACATTCACATTCCAAATATAATTCGTTTGCATTCTCTCTCCGTAGATTTACGAACCGATGGCACAAAGATTCGACTTTCACAAGTGTAATAACCTAGACTGAATAAATGGTGTTTATTTAATTAAAATGTTTACACGCCCTTTCGCACGTTTTTTTTTTCATTATAACATACGAAGTTGCTTTAAGAAGTATATACTATTATTCAGTTACCCCGTGATAATGGCGTTATCAACAGCGCCGACATATCGAGAAATCAATAAAACTAGTGTGAAAGAAGGATTTAAGAACTAAATAATGTAACGACACTATTTATGTACCTGCTAAATAAAATAAACATAATAAATAAGACCAATACACATAACTGCCTATATAGCACCAGAAACAAGGGTGTATGGCGGCTTGATGTATAAACAAAAATCTGTCCTTATCTATTTTATTGCGTCTGACAGTAAGATAGATAAAGATCCAAAATTTTATTAATTTCAGACGTTCTTAATGCTATCAGAAGTTTTCAGTTTTCGATTTTTTTATTTGTAAAGCATAAAAATACATAATTCATGAATTCGCATCACTAATGAGCTCACATACATATATAATAAATTCATATTACAACAATAAAAAATACTCATTAAAGTATATGCAAAAAATACGGTATGATTAAAAACTCCTTTTGCTCAGGGAGTAAAGCACAAATTTTCAGCCTTTATCCACAAAATTAGTGCGGTTCCACCCAGAACCTTCCTTTTTATTAATATGTCAGTAGTTACATGTATTGTAGCGAATAAATAAATATTACCTTAGTACCACATTTAAAGTTTTTAGGTCGTCTGGATATGTTTTTATAAGTTTTTCATAAATATTTCTCTGAGTCATAAAAATATTGATTTTTAAAGTTATAATATCAATAACCGTTTGAAGTAAATAAATGAAATTTCAAGAACATAAATTTGTGAAATTTCAGGTGTTGATTTAATACTTAACAGAGTTGTGAAGCGGTCAAAAGTAAATCTTAATCGTATATATTAGACGGCCGGCGTGTCGTCAGGTGCTTTTTTAACTTGGTTTTAAAATATTGCTGCATATATAAAAGGTTTTCACTGAGATTGAAATTTACGGTAAAAGCTTTCTCCTGGTAAAATAAAAAGTACCTACCCTAAATTTTGTTCAAAAGATATGACAAACCATAAGTTTAATTTATGTATGCTACTTAGAATTAGATAATGTACAGAATTTGCAGAATATGTTTTTAAATCAACCTCGATCTCAACGTCAAGGTCAGTGTTGCCCAGTATAGAACTTCGATGAAATAAAATCTTTTAAAATATAATATTTTAAATGTTCTATTTGATTAAACCTTTAAAAAATATATAAAAAACTGCGATTAAAAAAAGTTGGTATAAATGTTATGGAAAAATCTGCCAAGAAGGTCGGTTGGTTTATATTTATAGTTTATTTATTGTATAAACATTTATGTGTAATAAAATAAAGTTAACCACTTAAAGGACAAGTATAGACTGAATTCCGCTTAAAATCTGGGGGCAAAGAAGTGTCTCAAGTGCCAAGTCGATCAAACAAGTAGAAAGGGCACGGCAGTACCATGCTTTTAAAAGAAATAAAAAGTTTGAAAAGAAATCCTGATTCTATTGAAAATCAAAACACGAATTCAAACAAACAAAATCAGAACAAAAATCAAATCACTCTGTTACAAGCCTCCGATGATACCTACGCTATCAATATAATCAAGCATATGTCTTACTCTAATACTTATTAAAAAGCTTGTTATAAGGTATCTCATTATATAACAGATAAGAATACTTGGACTTGCTATGGTCCAGAAACTGGAAAGGTGATTTTTTTCTAAACTCACTAAATCTCAAATTATCTTGTTGCCATTATTAAATCATTATGTTCATAGTTTCTTTACTCTATTTATAATGTATTGATCTGGTAATGACATGGTTTTATGAATGTTGTTACTCTCATTAGAGCTGACTCATTCTTTTTATAAGCCAAAAGACATCCTGAACACCTGGTAGGAAAAAAAATGTTGAACGAATATAAGTACTTTTAAGAAATCTGTTTGAATAAAGATTATTTTCACTTTGGCCTCCCCGTGCTTCTGCATCCTTCCACTTTCGCGTTGATAATTCATTTTAGTCATTTATTCATCCGGAATTTTGCCGAACTAATCGGAACATACCTCGATACTAACTATCAGGTCAACTCTGTTTATTAACTCAATATTGAAACAATATAAATGCAAATCAAAACGATGACCTTAATGTCTGTCACTCACATAGTTCAAAATTTTTTTTGAAATTTTATTCGTTATCATACAATAAATTGACATGTGCGATACGATAAGTGTAGAATAAGACAAGGAATTATGCGATATCTTATAGTTTAAGATGTAGCCGCAGTTCCGTCGGACTTTATCAGTTATTGCTTGGAAAAGTGTTACAAATTACTTTGTGTAATTGTCCGTGGATCTTGAAACGATGCGTCTTCCGAACAATTCTATAGACATATCTACAGACCCCAAGTTACAGCTGTTGGATGCTTTGATGAGAGACTGTTACACAGTGAACACATCGCACAGTAAAATAGACAACGAAAATTCTATTGACTCGTTTGGTAAGTTTTCATTAGTAATTCACAAATAGGTAGGTAAGTGAGTAGCTTGGTGATGTAGTGGATAAGCGCCGCGGCCCACGGTCGTTGTTGTTAAGCAAATTTGACTTCGGGTCAGCAAGGATCGGTCAACGGATGGGCGACCAGAAAATTACTATCTCGAACAACTATGCTTCGGAATACACGTTAAGCCGTTGGTCCAGCCGGGACCTTTGCCGACGTTAAACACCCTCCAATCCGCATCTGGTTCCAGCGTGGTAGGTCATGGCCATGGCGTCCTCCTTAAACATCCATAAGGAAGACCTGAGACCCTGCAATGGGGACATAAAAGGGCTATTTATACATAAAGATCTATCTCTAGAATAAAGTTATATTTGATCAAACAACCAAATTAGATTCTTGCTTAGGGAAAAAATGAATCTACCTAATATAACGTATTAACACTAAAAAATATATCAATATGGAATTGTCGAAAAATTAAATAGTAAAATTTATGGTTCATAAATTAAACTTATTACCTAAAATTTCAAACATTTAAAGTTGTTGTATTTAAATACTTATATTTATAATTTCGCATTTTGCAGTTGTTACTTTATTCTTTGGAAAGATCGATTGATGTAAAGTATATGCCTTAACTTGCTCTTTAAGTAAAACAACCAATAAGTTAAACAATCATAACATCATCATGATCATACCTGTACCTAATTCCACGACTAAATTTAGCTAATAAACACAATGTTCTAAGATTGTTTATTACATTTTACCTTTTTTTATCAAAAATATAATATCCGACTTAAATTACTTCTCTTATAAGTTTCACGAAGGAATAGCTAGATAGATATTTATCCGAAAATAAAATTTGGTTTATTTTATTAATTCGTTTTCAAAATTAGACTGATTTAAAAAATGCTATTATATAGCAAAGGATACATTTTTTATCCCAAATCTTCCATAGGAACAAACACACTACCTAAGACAGAAATACCTATTTATTTATTGATCTTCTTATTTATTGGGCTTCCAAACACGTGTGTAAAATTTTATAGCTGTATGTACGTATGTATGCATGTTTGTATATATATGTGTATGTATGTCTGTATGTTTGTCCACGGATATCTCGCAAACTGAACGTCAGACTGCAATGATATTTTTTTGCTTAATTGCTTCGTTTTCAACTCTTGGGTACACTACAAGTTGCATCAAAATCAGTTCAGTGATTGCTAAATATAAACTAATAAAATTTAAGCTACTTATAAAATTAGTGAAAATTTAACAGACTTATAAAATGGAGTAAAAATGAATGAACTTTTTGGTGACCAACTTTAAGAAAGAGGGCATTACCATACCTTAGTATAAGTACGTCATTAACCGACTAAAAAAAAGAAGTTATCAATTTGGCCTGTACGTTTTTAATCGCTCGGCATTCAATTTGATCTGTATGTTTGTGATTCTGTAGTAATACGGCACAATATTCGTTTAATTTAAATTAGTCTATATGAACTTCTTAACAAGTGTGTTACAATTTAACCGACTTTAAAAAAGAAGGACGTTATAATTTCGAGGTGCATGTATATAATTTCGTTATAATGACGTAATGTTCATATATGTTGGTCTATATTGGCTTCTAAACACAAAATTTTATACATGTATATCAGGTATTGAGGTCGGTGCCAAATGTTTATGAGAAACATATTATGTATTGTAAGAAAAAAAAATCTAATAGTTCTGTTTTTCTAAGTACTAAGGGATACGGCTGGCACTGACCTTTAACTTTTTGTCAACCTTTTGTGTTTCGATTTTATTACGGATAAATTTTGATAATTATTTCTCTCTTTTCAGTCGTTTCTCTCGATTACGATCTTATTGAAGTCGGTTTTCTTTTAACATATTTTACTTCTTTTTTCACTGAATCATGTATTTCACGCATTCATCCATCGTGCATCCAGTAGAAGTAAAATAACGTCGAATATTGTTGAGAATGTTATCTATTTTTATAAAAGTCAAAAAGTAGTTCCATATATGTCATGTATGTCATTCATTATAACTTCTCTTATACCAACAAAATAAATAATGGAATTTATTCGATATTTGGAACTATATCGAACTCGAAATATTTTACCTGTGCTGCCAATGCTTTGTGCTTTTCAAAGCTGTTGTATAGAATTCCAATGTTTGATGCAATAAAAACTCGCTTGTTTGATGCAATATTCTCATATACGATTCATTCACAAAAATATTTTTTTATGTGAATTCTGTTTTGCACATTAATATTTTATTCACAATGACATTAAACGTGTTTAATTTCAACATATTTTACTGATTCTAATTTTCAATTATAAGATGGTTAACAGAATAAACTATACTATTATTTTAAAAAAACATGCCATGTGCGAGTAGAACTCGCTCACGAAAGGTTCCGTGCCGAAAACCAACAAATAATCACGTTCCTTGTATGAGATATTATTTTATTTGAATGAAACTCTTTGACGTGACAGCGCTGCGTTCGTAGACATATTTGAGGATCTATTTATAACAGAATAGATCTACAGATGATAATAAAAATAAAAATTGTAAACTTTTATGGACAATATTGACCCCGCTCGGTGCCGTTGTGTATAAGCACCGCGGCCCGCGATCGTTGTTTTACAAAGGTCAGTCACAGGATGGGTGACTCGTCGGTCACAGCTGTATTTGCAGTCGTTAAAACCCACAAATTCGCATTGGGTCAGCGTGGAGATTCATGACCCATGGAAAACGAGCGTGGAGGGCCTCGTAAATGGCTGTTGATTAAAACACAACTATTTTGCTAACTGCAAATCCTCGCTAATGAGAAATATTGGAGCAGCTCGTGCTTGACACATGGATCGCTTGTAATTCCCACATTGCATTTTACACTTCATTGTTATTAAAGCCAGGCTAATTATACGTTCTTATCGTACTTTCTATCTACTTACTTAGACAAACAATGTTATCACATTACATAAACATTTCATATATACCAAGTAATTAGTAAGTTCCGCGGATTTTCGTTGTAGGTACCTATTCAAAATCGATCAAAATACTAAATGAACTCCCCGGGCGATTAATCGATAATAGTACCTATATACTTACATACGGTTCGGCAGTTCCGTGAAATTTTGATTAAATTCCGTTATTGAATATTCCCTTTTTTATATGTTTATTGTTTTAAAAGATATTGACTTTATTACCACTATATAAATAAATTACCTAACCTAAGAATAGATATGTTACATCTACCGTTTCAAGATAAAAATCCAATTATTTCTTCGGTATTATAAATATGTCAACTGGATATTTACATTCCTGCAGTTTAGTAAGTGTCAAGTATGTGATTAATAATATAAATTTAAAAATAAATATCAATTTTATATTATCACTGCATAGTTTGTAATTTTAATAAGGTAATTTAAAGTAGAACAATGATATAACTAATAAAAATAACCTTTTGTAGGTACTTTAAACAAGCAATAACATCTAACTCGATATACTCAAACAGTCAGAGTGACAGTGTATTTTAACGGTTACCTAACGTCTGTACACCACGACTAATCTACAAAGAATGAGGACTACGCACTGTAACGGTATCTATAGCGGGTAGTATCACTTTTATGGGCTGCCTAATCCATGAAGGTGATGTTGTCAATATAAAATAAAAATAATAATAATTTTATTCACAGACTAGGGCCCGATTAGCCCTACTTTATGCCTACATTCACTTCCAGCCTTCATAAAATCATCGAACCAGTGTGACGTAATGATACGCAATAGGTATCAGTCCACGATTTAGCTTTGCATCCTTATAAGTTATGGCTCTTGCCAAAAAAAAGTCTTTCCATCTTTTATTCAAAACGATATTTTTTTGTAGTATTAAGATAGCAAATCTTCTTTAATTTGGTAACAATAGGACATAATTTTGATCGCATAAGAGCTTTCGAGATGATGTTAGTAATTAATATTAACGATATTATTATTAGCGTAAACTTTATAGTATAGGCTATTAGCTTAATATTTTTTGATTTTTATTTTTTATTTTTGACATCTTACAAAAGCTATATTTTCCCTGCAATATCCATGAAAATACCAAATAAGTCCATTTTATTCCAACAAAACTGCTGGAATTATTAGTAGGTATAGAACAAAATTTTAAACTCAAATATAAAACAAATTGTCTCTGTCTAGGAACATTTATTTTTAATAAAAAATAATCTTCTCATGTATTCCACAGAATAATAAACATACCTCAGAAAGTTAATTTTATTAGTTTTAAGTCATTAAACAATCATTGAGAATTACGATCTGAACCACAGTCTGAACATTTATCTTTAGTCGCTGTCTAATGTTTTAATCAAGCTGCTTCCAAATATTTACTGCGGTTTAGCTCCCGGGTGAAAGAGTAAATTGGGCTGATTTTATTATCACCCTATACAAGAGTTGCCTTTCGGGGCTCAGAGATCCACAAATACAAAAAAGTTATGTTTACAATACTTTTTCTCGTACCTTCTTTTCAGATATTATTTTCGCAGTTTCGATATATCATAGCTTTGTTATAATACAATTGCATAGCTCAAAATGAAAAGGATCTATTCGTTTCTGTCCATCAAGACCCTTTTTATCGGGAACGCGTGGAGGTATCCAGTTGAAATTAATATCGAATACATGTGCTGTCTTGGATATATGATTAAATCAAAGTTGTAAGTTAATATCGCATAACTCTACAATTGTATGAGTTTAATGTTTATTTATACGTAGAATATTATCTCATACGTAGCGAAGACTAAAGTAAAATAAAAAATAAAAATAAAAGTCTTCCGATAAAGCTAAATCCTTTTTATCGTTTAAATTTTATGAACTTCAAATAAATTGTACGGAGCCATCAAAGCACGAGTACAAGTCACACTTGGTTAATATCACATATCACACCAACGTTAATATCACATCTTACATACAGAATTATATGTAATATATTGTTCAGTCTTTTTTAATAAAATTAGAAAGTTATAATAACTGGGACATCTTTATCCTTTCTTTTAACAATAGTAAATGCTCTTACTTGCCCCATCATAGTTTATTAGCCCATTAGCCCATTACATTAGCCCGCTACTGGGTCTAGTCAAAAAGCATACACACGACACACTTTGAAATACATATCAGTGAGGTAGGTAGTGTGTGATGAAGTTATAGTATGTGCATTTTATCTATGTTTCAAATTAATATTTTGGCTCATTGATGTAAGCAACCTAAGGCAAAATATGAATTTGAAATTTTAAACATATAAAAATAGGTTGTCATGTGGATGTGATGCGGATCAACATATATTTTTACATTCTTCGAGTACCTACTCGAAGCTTAAGATTTCTAAGTTCTTTTAAATTTTCGAGAATTTATTTACAAAATTCTTTAAAATAAAGTTTGAGCTATTCTGACTATTGCCAAATTGATCTCTTTTCCAACCAATGGGATACAATTTAGTCTATGTCAAAGAGTAAATTACTTTTCTTTTTAGGTCTGCCAACTTATAATTTTGTAACGAAATTGTTATGATTCGGTCACTTTTAATAAATCTATGGTCAAAACTCACTCCATTCTTTGGTTCTTGCCTTTAAAGAGCTTACAAACTTTGTCTAAGTATTCGATAGTGAACAAGAGTAGGTTTCGTCAGACATTGTCGAGGCACTCTCGTCTCGATCCAAATATATCGAAATCGTTTCAGAAAGTACTACTCTGCAATTGTAATACATTCGCATACTAAAAAAAAGGTCTAGGCCAAAGACAAAAAATATATTTAACATTTTCAACATATTCCAGGTGTATGTATGTGTGTGAGTTTAAGTAAGTATGTATCGTAGCTTAATTTACTGCGCCTTGTTTATGTGTACGGTATAGTATTCTTGTTCTTATAAATAGTTTATAAAGCTGAGGGAACCCTAAAAGTTTAAGCATGGCAATAGAAGGCAAAATACATGTTCATTTATAATGAAAATGATCTATTATGACTGGGTAATTTGTCGTTGCAAGAGTTTATTAGATTATCTGACATGAAGTAATTTATTTCTATTCAAACGACAGCGATACAGCTTTTCTATTATGTTAAAATATAGCTTAGAAAACAGCGCTGTCACAGCATTAGAGGTTCCATCTAATAAAACCCTTTTCAAAAGCTAGTAAAGATTTAAAATAATTCTGCAACTGAAATGGAACACTTTTATATAATTAAATTCTATATATTTCTGTATTCCTTTGAACAGGAAATGCTATTTGAACCTTATCTTGGTACGCTATAACGACTAACTTCATAATCAAGAGAAGTGAAGTATATTTAGTTAATAGTGCTGCTGAGGATATTATTATATATATTACTGTGTCGTTTACTTATGTAAATAAACAAATAACTATAACTAAATAATAGAAGTAAAATACACAGATGGAGTCTGGTGTCCGAGAACTTTCGACGGCTTTTCTTGTTGGGATGAAACTCCTGCAGGCTTCACTACGTACCAGCCATGCCCTGAATTCGTCATCGGCTTTGACTCGAAACGCTTCGCATACAAAAGGTAAGATCAATTTTATTAAGAAAAAATATATAGTTCGTCAAAATACTACTAAGTTTAAAGAATAGAGACCTCAAATATGAAATTAAAATCCAATTCATAATAATTTTTTATGTACAAATATTTATTGGAATATTTGTCATGTTAGCCTTGGTTTCTAAATTTGAAATAATTATATCTAAACATACATATACTATTCTATTCAAAAATAAAAACTCACATGTTCATTTATGTTAGACTTTACTAGCAAATTAATCAAACTACAGTTTTAAAGATAAAAAATATATATTTTTAAAAGACATATCATAAAACATATATTATAAAACAGTATTACACAGGGTTAATAATTTTTAATATCTAACCTTTTTATTAACCTTTTACATACATATATATAACAACGGATAATTTACCTATATTATGTAATGTGCCAAATAGATATAAAACAATAATATAATTATAATAAGTAGCTGGTGTTGGTCCCGGCTGCATTTGCAGTCGTTAATACCCTCCAATCCGCATTGGCCCGACTTGGATGGTCATGGCCCATCCTCCTTAACCATCCATAAGGAAAACCTGATTCTGTTCAGTGGGGACGTAAAAAGGCTGATGATGATGAATTACAATAAATTGAAACATACTGTATTACATTAAAACAAATAAAATGTACATTTATATAAAAAAATGAATTGGTATTAAATTACTATCCATCTATGTACGAGTATATAAAATTGTTACTTATACATTATTTCTCAAATATTAATGAGCTATTGTTTATAAAAAAGGTCGTAAATTAGTGTATTGTTTACATAATAAATTAACTAAAATACACGCATGCTAGTTAACCCGCATTATAAGCATTTTAATGAGGAAATTATATGTAACATAAATTATTTTTTTCTATAAATATAAAAGTTTACCCAGTCGCGAAGACCAGACGACCTCGAACCGGCTATTTTGATTAATCGCATTTTGCTGAAATAAATATTTACTTAGAAAAAATAATTAACGAAATAAATCTAAATAACCTACCCCTTTTACCTTTTGTAATCAAAAAAAGGAAACATAATTTAGAATTCCGTAGACACGCCAATCAGTGTTCAGACCTAACTATTTAGGTACCTACTATTGCATAGTAAATATTGTTTATACCTATAAGCTTTTATTTTAACTTTCAAAAGTTTTTTATAGTGTTTTGTTTTCTTACTATTAAATAATATTATTCATTTTAAACTTAGATCTGTATTATTCTTATCAAATTACAATTAATCGTGACTTAGATGAAAAACACTTTAAGAAGCTTTTAACTTGCTACATGTTAGGTATATGTGTAACTGAATGTTAACCCTAGAAAACTACTTATCAGAGGCGATCGTGCGGTAAACAATTCGCTATTCGTTTTATTCATTTCATTAATGAATTTTTGCCTCGTAGCCAACTCAGACTTCTACCAGCGGACGACCTTTTCTACGTGAATATGTAGTTCTTGTAACTACAATCATATCGTGCCCTTCAGGGGCATATAGATAGCTTTTGCGTAACTTTTACGTTTATTAACTTTGGTCTATGCTGTCTATTCTAAAATAAGCCTTCAATTCGTAGGGAATATATGAAAAAAATATATTTTACTGACTGCATCATGAATGTCGCAGAGTATTCAAACTTCTACCTTACCAAGACGTGTGTAACGAGGATTCAGCTATTGTCCCATCTATTCTTTATTTCGTACTAGCTGTTTCCCGTGACTTCGCTCACATAAATTATAGTTAATTTTCTAACTCAATTCAATGTATAATATTAATAAAGACGATACACAAATATTATCTATACATTTGGCTTGGCAACAAACCACAAAGAAATCACACATTGGAACGAAAATTCTGTTGTCGTAGCTTCTAACATAGCATAACACAAATAACATCTATCATCTCATTTTGAAAATAGTAGGCTGATGAGATAAGATAAAACATTACATCAATGAAACACAATATACTAAAATTTTAATAAATATTAAGTATAGTATTCGACTGAAATTATTCAAATTTCCTTTAGTTATTGATGATAATTAATATACAAAAAGAACTTAATTTAGGATAGATCTATTAGTATTATGTATATATTTGAATGCCATATTAATATAATATTTATTTACACTTATAATGATGCATGAAAATGATAATTGTGATAATGATGCATGAAAGATACCAACTTTACATTTTTCTTATCGTTGAAATTCAAAATCATCATCATCAACCTTTTTACATCCCCACTGCAGGTGTTGAGGCCTTCCTTTTGGATGGTTAAAGAGGATGGGACATCTATGACCATCCACAATGGCCCAATGCGGATTGGAGGGTATAAACGACTGCAAATGCAGACTGTAATGCCCCTTCCGAAGCACGAAATAGCTCGAGACAAAATTTTTCACCCACCCCGTGACCGACATATTAAACATATTAAAAAACTGAAATTTGAAATGTTCGAAACTTAGATATCAATACAAACACGAAAAAGTACAAATAGAATATGAGTTGTTTATTGAGTTTTGAAAACTAATTTACTTTTAAACATGAAAGAAAACCGGAGGAGTTGTCATGGAGAAATCAAGAACTTGCCGTAACGAAATCTAGTTCGATTTCGGGAACTAATGTTTTTTTTTAAATACTTCCTCATAGGCAAACAATCAAATTGTTCCTTTTTAAAATATAATATATTATATTAAAGTCTTTTATTTCTTGTTTCTCTTATATAAAAAACGATATTTTTTTTAAACTCATAAAAAAGCTAACACATTTTTAAAACATATTATCGGTTAATAATACTCACGTGTGAATTACATTATAGCTAATGTATCACGTGTGAATTACATTATATCTATGTCAATAATCAATCCAGTACTTTCGGAGCCTAACCGACGCAAAAAAAAACAAACAATTAAATGTTTCCTTTTTATAATATCAGTATAGACTAGCAGCCCGTTCACATTTATGCAATAATTTAACGAAAGTTTAAAAATTATAATTATATAGGTAATGAAAGATTCTAATAGTAATAGTTATTTAAGATACAAGTGCGGAAAGTAAGGTTTTACAGAAAAACCTTTTACGCTCAAGTTTCTTACAACATTTTTCAATGCTTTTTGCGAGGAAATAAAACAAATATATAGGTTAATAAAACTAAGTATGTATTAAAGGTAAAAATTATTTGTTAAAATTAAACGTGATATTTGAACATGTTTTCGTGTCATACATTTTTATTTGAAAATATTCGTTCTAGGCTCCTTGAAATACTTTTGTCTCAAAAGTTTGACATATTTGCGTCATTTTTTTCCAAATTTCATTGGTGCTCGGCCAAAAAAAATTAAAAAAATACTTTTAAGCACGTGTGCAGTAAAGGATTTCACGTTTCACGTGTTTAAAGACTGTCTTGCTTAAAGACTCACTTTCGGTGTTTACAATGGATTAAAAAAATAGCGCTTTATGAGCAACTGCATTGAAAAAGAATTTTTCAAATCGGTCCAGTAGTTCCGGAGCCTATTTCATTATATAGTAAAACAAAGCTGTTTAGTTTGTAACAAGAAATGAATCAAGAATTTTACCTGTAAAGGTCAAAGTCATCCAAATGTCAGAAACCAACTGAACAAAATTGACCGTCTTATTTACTGAACCATTTCACGAGTAAGCAGAACTCTCACATATAAATAAATGATCTATTTAATCTTTGTTTTGATAAGCAAGACAGTATTTATTTAGATAGATGAAATCGTCTGATATATCATCAACACCAGCCTATTATTGTCTCCATTCTTGCTTCATTGGGGCTTCTTGGGTCAACCTTATAGATAAAATTAGATAGAATCGAATAAAGAGAATGGGCAGTGACCCACTACACGGATCCAGTGCGGATTGGTGGGTTTAATGACTGCAATTGCAGCCAACAACCAACGGCTTAACGTACGTTCGAGGTCGAGATAGTAATTTTGGTCACCCATCCTATGACCGGATATTGCAAAAGTTGCTCAATAGCCGTATTGCAGGCCGAGCGCGCTAGCCACTCATACTATTGTAGTAAACTTATGACCTTGATTTGCGATACGGAAGTAAAACAAATTTAATAGTAAAATAAATTGGTGATACAACTTTCGGCCCGGTCTTGCGGTTCGAGATGATAAAATTTATAACAAAATTTTATTATCTCGAGCCGTACTTCGGAAGACAAATGAAGTCATTTATCCTGTTTGCATGCATATGCATTGCAATGTAACGATTGCACAATCCGTTCTGGGCCTATGTGGGAAGGGTATCGTTTCACGAGTGAAAATACAGGTTTATGTTATATGTTTGGAAAATATGAACCATTTTAGCTTATAAATATTTACCAAAATACATTGTATGAGCTAAATAAAGAAAAACATAAAAACCCGATCGCCGAAACGATTTTTTTTTTTAATACATGAAAAAATTAACGTAACTAAAAACTAAAAAGAAAGAAACAAGCTTAGTAGTTTAGAAAATAATCAATACATATAATACAAATCATAAATTCTAATGCAGAACAGAACGACTCATAGTCGGGGCCCCTTGGGAAGATTTAATTGGTAAAATTTGAATGGGCCCCGAAAGTGAGTCGTTCTGTTCTGCATTAGAATTTATGATTTGTTTTTGAAAAACGAGAGGAATAATACCCTTTAACATGGAATTACTTATTAATATGAGGTACCACATAGCTATTTTCTCGCGACTTCGGCCGCGTAAATTATAACCTATGCACGCGTGTGAATTAGTTTCCCATGCGCGAGAGATATTTTGAATCGGTCCAGTAATTTCGGAGTTTATTTAACGCAAACAAACAGTAAAAACTTTCCTATTTATAATATTAGTATAAATTGTGTACATTATGGCAATAAATGTGTTTTAGCCTATTCACCTTTACAGAAATAAATATACTTCTATTTTGAAACAATTCTACATACCTTTCACATTTCTTATTCAATGAGTATGAAGTTT